TACAAATACGTCTTATAACACATTTTTTTTATATGGAAATTAAAATCGTTGTTCAATGTACTTACATTAATTTCTATATAATAAAATCATTTCTACAAATATTCTTCTCCACGATGATGTAGAAATTAATGATAATAAAAAGAGGGGAAAAAAAGTAGTATGAAAAGAAAGGGTAGAATGTAAAGCAAGAGGTTGCTGAAGGGCTGAGAGGAAGGGACTGAAAAAAAAACAACGAATCTTTTATATATAAAGCAGCTATTCGGATTAAAAACTAATTAGCGAAACTGGGAGGATGATGTTCGTCCCTCTCGTTCGAGGATCTTCAAGGATATCTTCTCATTTTGTGCTTCTAACGTTTTCTCTCTCTCTCTCTCTCATTTTCCAGTACTCTTGCTCGATATTCAAGCCATACGGGGAAAATCCAACCTCTTTCCACGACCTCGTTGAAGTATGCATCGATTACGCTCTGAGCTCATTCGATGGGACTGCCCTTCTCTCTCACCATCATCCTTAACCCCCTCCCCACCATCCTATTCCCTTTCCTCTCTATTTTCTTTTTTTTTCTCTTACATTAGTCCCTTAGCGCTTAAAGTCGCAAGCGCAAAAATTAGTTCGAATTAGTCGGATATTTTTTTTCTCTCCTTTTTTACTATTTTTCTCTCTCTCTTGTTTTTTATATATATATATGTGTGCAATGGGAAGATAAAAGTATTCGTAATAGTAAGTATGTGAAAAATAAATGTACAATTATATTCGCCAAATATAAGCAATCTTTATGAAATATTAACAATTATATTTATATTATTTATTAATGATGTATAGGAATATATTTAATGTTTCTAGTGAAATTTTACAATTCGATTTAATATTCATGTATTGTAAATTACAAAATATTATAAATTAACTTTTGTTTATATTTATATTATTTAATGATAATTAATAAATAATTAAATTATTATTAAATGTTATGTTAATGCATAACATACAAACATATATATAGTATGAGGATTGATAATGTAGAAAATATTAATTTTTTTTCTTTTCACATACTGTACGAATACTTTTGTTTCCCATTGTCTATATATATATGTCTATTTTTTTAAGAAAAGAGACAGGAAAAAAAGGAGTCTAACGAATACGGTAGAGGGGAGGGGTGGGTGGTGATCTTTACTCTTTCTATTAATCTGAAAATCAGCTCTATAATTGACTCTTCTTTTCTTTTCTTTTTTTTTTTATCATCTCTAGTAATTCCCCCTTTCTTCTCCATTTTCTATTTTTTTTTTCGAATAATGAGAAATTTTTCTATCCGATTCTATAAGTGTGTCTCTTGATAAAGAAGAAGAAGAAAAATAAAAAAGAATAAGAAGAATAAGGGTGGAATTAGAGAAAGAGAGAGAGAGAGAGAGAGAGAGAGAGAGAAAAAAAGAAAAGAGAAAGAGGAGTAAGATGGAAAGTGGAACGACCCTAGAATGCGATTGAATTCTCGCGAAAGTTTCATCGGAAAGTCATTAGGCGGTTTTAATTGTTCCACTCGCCTGTTGAAACGTGAAGATGGATGGATGGATGGATGGCTTTTCGTAAAATTCAACGAACATTCTTAACGTTTTACTGATTTTAAAAATGTGTCTAATCAACCGTAACCATATAAAGACTGATACATATTTATAATATAAATAATCGATCTCGTCTTTTGTATATTTATAATACAACAAATAAAATACGAAATTAGAAATGTATATATATATATATTATATTGGGATAAATTAATATTGATTTTGTGTAAGAAAACTTCAAAGACAGTGCACATTTATATTTATAAATTTGTTTTTTTGTTATTTTTTTTCTGATAATATTCACATTTTTTCCATAATAATTTTAATATTTATAAAAATTGACACGAACTTTTCCTGACAATCGAAAACAAAAAAAACATATATATATATATATGTATGTATATTCTTTTCCATAAGGTTGCACGAGAATAGTTAGCGGGTCGATTTTATAAATAATAATTCAAAGACACGAGACTCTCGTTGAATATTTAAAAATATATTTTTTTAATATTTATATAATATAACTTTAATATTTATAAATCTGAAGTGACTCTTTAACAGGGACAAAATCTAATACTTTTCTTTACAAAATATTACATGTATAATATGTAACGAATCGCATACATATAGGTATATAAATAGTTATTATAATAAATCTGAAATGTCGAGAGAGAAAGAGAGAGAGAGAGAGAGAGATTGTGTAAAATAAATGCATTACGTTAATGTTGAGAATATTAATAACAAAAAGTTGTTTTCTTCGAGTAAATCGATACGAACGTTTAAAAGTAACTTCACGTTCGGGGTTTATTTTTTCCCCTTGAATAGCTATAACCCCTTTTATCTCTTCTTTTTTTTTTAACGAATCCGTTCTTTGAAACAAGATACGGTTTACATGTATATATATATACTTTCAGTGAGTTTAAAAGCACCCTTCTCTAATCGTCAATGTCGATTAAAATCAAGAAGAATAAAGTAGACACTCTAAAGTGATTATAGGGATGGATTTCAAATGCACACACACACACACACACACACACACACACATATATATATATATAAATGTATATGTATATTTACATAAATATACATATTGTATATAAATGGAAATGATCGCGTATATGTAAACTCGGTCGTTTGAAAAATTCTTTGAAAATTGTTAGAAAACATCGATGAAAGATTTCTTCTTCTTCTTCTTCTTTTTCTTCTTTTTCTTTTATTTCCTCTCTTCAAACATTTTTATGATTTATTCTGAAGAAGGGGATGAGAAAGTGTCACGGAAATTTTTCTATCGTGTTTTAGGAAACGAAGTCGCTTCGGGAAAGAGTTCGAACCCAAACCACGGAAGAAAACGAAGTTATCTCTTGTTCTAAAAAAAAAAAAGCAAATAGAGAAATAGACAGAGTCGTAGATTCGTCCTAATTTTAAATCCGAACGAGAAAGATAAAGTAAGAACATAAATAAATAGATAGATAGATAGATAGATGGATAGATAGATAGATAGATAGATAGATAGATAGATAAATAAATCAAAATTATATTCGTGTACTTAAAAGAAAGATCTACAAGTAGTATTATGGTGGTTTTTAACTCAATTAACTTTTATTATACTAGCATCATTTTATCATTACCATTTATTTTATAACTTTCAACAGGATCACAACTAAAAAAGTATCTTTTATAAGTATTTTCATTAAATTAATTTTATTCTTGAGAGATAGACATTTTCTACGACAAATTTACGGTTTTATATTGTAAACAACATTTTTTTTTTCATGGAATTATTATATAAGGATTGATCAAAAAAAGTGTCTTTATATGATATCAACATTTCTATGCAACATTTTTATTAGAAAAAAACAAAAAATTCATTACTCCTTTATTAATTATCCTCGATAGAAATTATTTACGTGCATCTTATTTTTCATCGATTCGACGTTTACAATTTATACGAATAAATTTTGATATCTCGTGAAAAAAAAGAAAAAACAGAAAAGGTTATTGATTTAAAAATAACGTTTGAGACATTTGACCTATCACTTTGTATTACTTGTAACTTTTCAAATTATCAAATGCATACTCCGCGAATTTCTTTCCTTTTTTTTTTTTTTTATTGAACCAGAAAAGAAACGTTAATTTCATTAGAGATAACAGAAAGTTCACAATTTCTTTTTTTGTTTTTGTTTTAACGATACGAACTTTTCCCAAAGGATCGTTTTATTTTTTTTTCTCTCCAACGTACTCGAAAATTACGAGAGAATTTTCTTTTATTTTTAATTTCTTTTTTTACATAAACATCTTTTAAAAAAAAAAAAAAAAAGAGATATAAATTAATTTTCACGATCCTACGCGTAAGATTAATTTCGCTTTTTTTTTTGTTTTCTTTCATATTCTTCGCTATCGTATTTGGTCCAATATATTTTTGATTTTAAACAACGCGTAATCAAATATAATCTTCGTCGTAATTTTAACGGCGCGAAATTCGCGAAGTAAACTCGTAAGAAAAGTCCAGTACGATATTACGAGGGGGTAGTACGTAACGTGGATAAGGGATTCCCCGATTAAAATATTTTATACGCGCTAGGGGAGTTATTTTGCACTGCTGCTGCTAGAAACTCGCGAGTGTATGAGTTGCGAAGTGGAAATTGGCCTCTCTTGTACTTTTCTTTTCTTTTTCCTTTTTTTTCTTTTTTTTTGCTCGTCATTATTTTACGAGACACGCAAGGGTTCAAAACATTTCAAATTCTTAACTTGAAATCTTGATATTGTTATATATAACATAATAGGTACAAAGTACCACATGACATGATTTTAATATTCAATTTTTAACATTCAATTATATTACATAATATTATACATAATTCTGTAATAATGTAATATAATCAATTATATTACATAATTATATACATAATTATTTATAATATTCAATTATTAAACATTTTAAGATACATTTTCTTTTGTAAATTATAAGACCACGAGTCTAATTATGATCTTAAAAATTAGAGTTATTTATTTTGTTTAATTTATCCAGTAATTGTTGGTACACACACACACATCTTGTATAACAATCATATATTAAATGTAATCAAATAGGAAAGAATAAATTACAGAAGAAATAACAAAATTGAAAGTTACAAAAGTATTACGAAATAAATATTGATTAATTTTTATTCAATCATTTATAAAAATTGTAATCCACACTGTGTGCAATAAAATTTAATATCCGACAGAAAGAAAAGATAATGAAATGAAAAGAGTAAAAGTGTAGGAAAAAAAAGTAAGTAAAATTCCAAAAAGAAATTAAATGAATCATGAGATTGAAATAACGAAAAGCTCGGGGAAAAATGTAATGCGAATTTGATAAATTATTGATTTAATATATTTCGTATCCCTTATATTATAACAATCACCCACTATCTTATTTTTTTTGTTCTATTTTATTTTTTTCAGAAGATGAAAACGCAGTGGTACAGGGTGTGGTGACGACCGATGGATTGTTCGACGGTACCATTGCAACCAAATTCGAAGAGTTTTATATCGAACCAACTGCGAGATATTTGGATGAGAACGAAGACACGTCTCCAACTTATCATAGCATCGCTTATCGTACATCCGATGTAACCGTACCACCGCATCCATTACCATGTGCGAGTCATCAATTACACGAAGGCTCTCTTCAGGACACATTTGATAGGTCATCATTTATTTTTTACCTTTCTTTTTTTACTTTTAAATATTTCAAATAATTATGAAACATTTGTGTCACTTTGTCAAATATTAATTAATTTTATTTAAATATTTATTTAATATTTCTCTTAGATACGTAAGTTAACATTTCCTTCGATTTTTCATTTATATTCTTATTTTATTTACTAGAATTATTTTGTAAAAATTTACAAAAGCCTAACACGGTGTGAATAATCATAAATCCTCTCTCCCCCCATTCTTATTGATCCTGATCAAATCCTACAATTGTATAGAATTTAAATAAAATTCGTGTACCATCGATTTGTCTTTTCCCTTTGTAAGCATAACGATGAAAGTTAACAAAATAAAAATGAAAAAAAAAAAAATAAAAATCTTTCTTTTTTACAGAGCCAAGACTAACAATGATACTTCAGAAGGATTTTACGAGCCCTTGTTGGATAATAAAATTGGTCTCTACTCTAAAGAAACTAATGGGAGAATATTGAATTTAGAAACGAAAAGCGAAGCTCGTTATTACGACAGGTAAGAAATAAAAAAGAATTGAATAAAAAAAAAAAAGATAAATCTAAAAAGAGGACTAGAACAGAGAGACAGAAGGAGAGAGAAAGGAATTACGATTCAAATTGAAATTATTTTAAAATCCACATTTTGTTGTTATCTTCGATCGTGTCACTTTTATCATCGAAACACGAATTTCCTTTTCGTTTTAATCCTTTATCTTTCATATTATCACGGTTAAAACAGACCACGTTTACCATGAAATGTGGCTATCCCGTTTAACTGGATTATCAGAATAAACTCTTATCGGGGAAAGATGATAACTAGGTAATTCTTTTTCTCACTATTCTTATCTTTTTCCTTTTATATTTTTCTCTATTTTCTCCTTTTTCTCGTTTAACTTACCATCCCCTTTTTATATCTCTTTTTTTTCTTATTCATTCATATATGTGCTGGTAATTATAACAGAGTAAACCAATGAATTAAATTCTGTTCAATTTTGATTTTACTATATCATGTTATAATAGAAATATAATTGTAATACAAAATAAAAATCTATATATATAATACAATTAAATTATATAAATAATATTAATAATTATATATTAACGTAAGAGTATTGTCAGATACAAAGTTATGTGATAATTTTAAAAGTAATTTATTTAAAAAAATACGAAGAAATATTTTCCCCAAACAAATAGTATAACAAAAAAATTTGAAATAGAATAATTGTATGTGTGTAATCCTATATAATTAATTGATTATATTCAAATAATAAAATATCAATTGTTCATATAATTATCGATAGATATGTATATATTTATTATATATATGTTTAATTAACAGATCCAACAGCGGAGATCGAATAGCCAGACATTTACACAAACGTGCAACAGTAGATCCACGTAAAACAACTTGCATGCTTTACTTGCAAGCAGATCATCAGTTTTTTGCTAGATATGGCACGGAGGAAGCTTGCATCGAAGTGATGACGAGGCATGTACAGAAGGTCAACTCAATATACAAACACACGGGTAAGTTGTTTTACAGGTCGAGCGAAAAGTAGTTTTGCAAGGAACATTTATCTTTTTTCTGTGTGTGATTTTTTTTATCTCTCTCTATCTCTCTCCGTATATATGTGTGTATTATTTACGTGTTCTATGTTCTATTTTTCCAAATTTTCTTTTAATTTCAAACATGAACGAACACTAATCATACCATGTTAAGTATATATACAGTATGTCCTAAAATTATCTTTACAATTTTATTCATTTTTAATAATAATGACATTGATAAAATAGCACACACACACACACATACGTAAGATTATTAAAATTTTTCTTTTACCAAAATAACAAAGTTACAAACACGTTCTATAAGTATACACCATTAGTGATTCACAAAATATACAATCGATACTTCATGTAACTACCATAACATAAAACAAACATATTTATTACAAAACAAAAATTCGTGTATATATAATTTTATTTGTAAAATAATTAAACGTAGAAATGTTCACGTTACACAGATTATCTATTATAAAAGATAGAAATTCTAATGTGTAATTTTACAATAACATCGTATAACAAACATTAATCTGTTTGTTTTACTTCATATATTATTTTGTCAATGATCATTAATTATTTCATTTTTTACTTTATCGGCGATATCATTTGTTATCACGATTTTTGTTTTTGTTAAAATAAAAAAAATAAAAAACAAAAATTAATACGTTCGACTTGATTTTATATAGTATTTTCATTACATACTACTATCCTCGCTAACGCGTCATTTACGTGCAATATTCGATCGAATTATAGGAATTCGATAAAATATCTCTCTGGTCCATCGTAGTCAGTTTCCCTCCCTCCCTCGTTTCCCCTCATCCCTCACCCTTCTCTATTATCGAGTAAAGTTCTCGTTGAAATTGTTTTCTGTCGAAAACTTCACATAGTATCGATCTACTATGAATTTACACGAGAGAACAGTTCGACTCACGCGTGCGCATCAGATTGATTTACAATAGGATGAGTTGTAGCGCGTAAATACAAGCTGAGTGCATACATAACATATATATAGTATATATACATAAAATATGTAACGAAAGTAATAACAAAGGTTCATCAAAAGCATTTTCCAACATATTACACGCGTACCTGTTTGAATATATTAATGATATATTTTTGTTTGTACCTCTCGTTTAGATTTCAATCAGGATGGTAGACCGGACAACATCAGTTTCATGATAAAACGTGTGAAAGTTCATAGCGAGGATGCTTTGAGAGATCACAATTATCGATTTCCTGGTAATTACGGTGTCGAGAAGTATCTAGAATTATTTTCCGGTAAGCAAGTTCTTCTTTTTATTATTATTATTATTATTTGTAACGTTTGATATTTGTTTCGTTAATGAGAGCAAATTTGTCTATTGAAAAGAAAAATATATATATATATATATACATTTAATTAAATTAGAAATAAAAAATAGAGAAAACAAAGAAAACTAGAAAAACAAAAATATGAATTAATAATATATTTTCGTGTGATCGTTTCAGAGGAAGATTACGACGCGTTTTGTTTGGCTTACATGTTCACGTATCGGGATTTTGAAATGGGAACGTTAGGTCTTGCTTGGACTGGAGATTTGAAGAATGCTGGTGGAGTTTGCGAAAAGAACGGGGTAAGTCGTTTGAAACAAAAGGAAGGAAGAAACAAAGACACTTCTTTTTTTTTCTTTTATTTTCTCTTATTTTTTTTCCTTTTTTTTTTTTTTGAACATATTTCACGTCAAGGTGGGTGACAAATTGGAATTGAAAAATTATTCCACACAGAATATCTATTGAGTTATATATATATTCGATTAGATTCGATACACATACATATATATAAGATCGATTCACACAGTTTATATATTTTAACAGTTACGAGTAATTATTATAACTTTTTAGATTTCGTGCATGTTGTGTCTTACATTTTAGAAACATTTAACAAATCATATTGGAAAGATTCACAAGACACGCATGTACATTATTTCAATGGTGTTAGGATCTTTAGTATATATTATTATACATATTTTTATTACTTTTTCCTTTTTAATACACTTTACCATAACATCACAATATTATTCCGCCAGTAATTATCGTTTAATTAAAAAATAGTCCGTTTGATCTTATAATATATTATTATTATATTATTTATAATATATAATAATATTTTTTTTAGCGCTATGTGTGTAATACAAATTTTTGCTAAAATACCAATGGAATTTGTGTTACATGAATACACATATAAATATTTATATAAGAAATGATTGTAGATACACTTCGTTCGTTCGTTATCATCAGAATAAGGGTCGATATTGCGATTGTTACTAACATAATTTATTCCATATTTTTTCACGACAAAAAAATATTTCAATATCTCGACAAACTCTGTTCGAACACATTATCTATAAATACATAAACATATATATGTTTCTATATTAAAAAAAAAAAAAAAAAAAAAACATAATATAATATAAAAATATAATCAGTCAAAAAAATAAGCAATATCGGCTCCCTCCGTATCGTTTTTAACGGCATGCGTTCAGCATAGTATATAACGTAGGCTGCATACAAATAATGTTGCAGCATTATCGTGGTAGCATGAAGTCCTTGAATACTGGAATAGTGACCCTGCTGAACTACGGAAAGCACGTTCCACCCGCGGTATCTCACGTCACATTGGCTCACGAGATCGGTCACAATTTCGGTTCGCCGGTAAGTCTTTGATATTTTTCACCCACCCACCCCATTCCTCCCGACCCAACCCACGTTTATTTTTCTCTTATATATTTGAAAACAACAAATATATATTTGCATTTGTATATATACAAATGCGCGCCCGACACGTATTTTCACGAACGAAGATAATGATTCAAGAATAAGAAATGTAATATTGTTTAAAATGTATCATTCCCCTTCCTTTCATCAGCACGATCCGGAACAATGCACACCAGGAGGCGAAGATGGAAATTTCATAATGTTCGCCCGTGCCACCAGCGGCGATAAGCGTAACAACAATCGCTTCAGTCCGTGTAGTTTGAACGCCATAAATCCTGTTCTCAACAGTAAAGCTCGTTCACCAAAAGGCTGTTTCACAGGTGACAAATTTAAATCACAGAGTATCATTGTAATGTATTATTATATTATAAATACATTTCCCCCCCCCCAAACCTCTCCCTATCCCCTAATTGTATATTTTAAAAATAGGATTATATCTATTATATTATATTTCTATAATACACGTTTGTTATTATTTTGTTTATTATTGCGTTTTATCATCCATAGAACCACAAGTATCATTGTGCGGGAACGGAGTAGTCGAGGATGGCGAGCAATGCGATTGCGGATGGGAAGAAGATTGCAGAGATACTTGTTGTTTCCCCCAACGTCGTTATCCCCCAACAGAAGAGACCCCCTGTACACTTACACCACGTTCAGTGTGCAGTCCTAGTCAAGTATGTGTCTCTTCTTGATATATTCTCGTGTCTAATGAAAAGTCAGAGTTAGTAATACGAACTGAGACTTTCAAAAATTGATTCTACTTTTTGTTTCTCTATTAGGGTCCATGCTGTACTGCTGAATGCAATCTTAGGTTTGGGGATAAGTGTAGGGATGACAACGGTTGTCGTGATGCTAGCTTCTGTGACGGAAGATCACCCTATTGTCCTCCTTCAATCAATAAACCCAATAAGACTATTTGCAATCGGGAATTGGTTTGCTTCATGGGCGTGAGTAATAGATTCGTTATTATTTTCTTTTTTAAAACTTTTAACAGACATCTCGCATATATATATATATATATATATATATATTTATAATCGTTTATTTTCTATTATATTTTAGGAATGTACTGGAAGCATTTGTCTTGCATATGGATTAGAATCTTGTCAATGTATTCCTGGTCCTAATGATCCTACAACTAAAGCTTGCGAACTCTGTTGTCGTTTACCGGGTGAAAATCAACCATGTTTGTGAGTACTTTTAAATATCTTCTTTCTTTCTATCTTTCTCTCTCTCTCTCTCTATATATATATAAAATGTTATGTTTTATTAAGGTCATCATTTGATTGGAATTCACCACCGTATGATATTCCGGATATGTTCTCAAAGCCTGGAACACCCTGTAATGATTACAACGGTTACTGTGACGTCTTTCAAAAGTGTAGAGAAGTGAGATCAAAATTAAATATTTGTCATATCTGTTATCTTTTTTTTTTTTTACCCTCCTCAATAAATCCAAATAAATAAATATTGTTCTAATAATTTTTCTGTTTTCAAGGTTGATCCGAGTGGTCCGTTAGCAACGTTAAGAAAACTTTTATTATCCGACGAAAGTCTTGCAACTGTTCGTCGTTGGGTAGCCGATCATTGGTACGCAACAGCTCTGATCATTTTAGGAGCTGTATCATTATTGGTAAGCATTAATCTTTTATTTAAAAAAAAAAAAGCACGATGGGGTAAAACTCGTTAAAAATTATTTGCATTATTTGAGTCGACAACGAACAAACTATAACGAGCACCACCAACCACGCGGATAGACATGCATGGCACTTAATTTATTATTTACATTTCACGTACGAACTTTACCAGAATAAATGCAGGATAAAGACAACGGCGCAGTCCGAAAAGAGTAAGTGGAGGAACACACATACACACGAAAGTAGGATGCATATAAAATGTATTTTTCGCAGGCTTTATTATCATATATATATATTGTTATATAGTTTTTTATTTATCGATAATATTTAATATTTTATCGTAGATATAGAGAGTATGGGCTAATAAAAAAAAAGTATACGTAGCGTGTTTATCGTATAGTTGAAACTAACAAAATACACGAAAATAGGTAGGAAATTGTAGAATACGATATATGACTTGTTCAACGGATAATAATATTATTTAATTATATAAGTTAATATTTTTCGAAGTTATTAATTAAATCGGTAATTTATTCAGATCGCCAGTATGAGGCTCCTAGGCAAGCGACCGGATCAGAAGCTCAAATCGGTGACAATAATCCACAGCTCGACGACGGAAACGGTACGGTTGCCTCCGGAAGGTGCGGAGGGAGTGACAGTTCATCCGGCAGCCGTTCGTGCAAAGCTTCCATTGAACAGGAAAGTGAGAGAGAAGAGAAGACACCGGAAGCATAAGGACACGCATGTTGCTCCTGCCGATAAATCAAACAAGGTACAATACTCGCAAGATAATCTAACGTCGTTAATTATTATAGATCTGTATCTCTGTAATATGAATTTAATTTGTATTTGTTAAAAAAAAAAAAAAAAAGGATGTTCTAAAGAAAAAGAAGCCAGCTCAAGCTCGGAGATCTTCAACCGTGCCGTCAGAGGAAGTTACTCGAAAACGACAAACGGAAACGACAACAGCAAACACAACCGCTGTTACAGTTACTGCAGCAACAGCAACAGCGGCAACGGCAGCAACAACAGCAGCAGCAACAGCGATAGCAACAGGCGTAATGGTGGTGCAAGATAGTAAACGTAAGAAAACTTCTAATTCAAGAGAGAAACAAAATTCGAATAACAACGGAGCCAACAATTCGGACGTTGACAAACGTAAACGTAAGAAACAACATAGGAAGGAAGTTATTGATTATTCCGCGATACAAGCGGAAAAAGAATCCGAACCGAATGCCGATCCCAAGAATAAAGTACGATCGTGGTTGTTAGCTTCCTCTCAGTGTAGACCGGATAACACAAGAACATCCAGTGGTTTACCAAAAAGCAAATCGACACCGGTTGGATTGACGACCGGTGGTAACGTAAGTGGTGCGACGAGATTAGCTCAATCAAGGCAAAACGGTGTACCAAGGCGACCACTGGACTCGAGAGAGGTCAAAAGTTCGCCAGGTACTTTAGCTAGGAAGGAACGTGCCAGACTTCAAGTCGTCTATAAGCCACCCTTCAAGTTTAGCGTGAAACTACGTAAGGCCGATAAAGTGGCTCAAGTGCCAGCGCCTGCGCCAACTTCGGCCCACAATAATCTAACGAGATCCACGAAATTGCCGAGAACTGGAGTGTTACTTAAAACTAAGAGAAGGGACAGAGTTAGAATTGGTAGAGCCAGGCAGATCGCTCCTACTGGAATTGGAAACGACAGTGGGGATTTACCGGAGCCTGCTAATTCGGATCTGCATACGGTACCCTCAGATTTAGAGGTTTTACTCTCTGAAAGTGAATTTCTTTTTTCGAACACGTGACCCCAAAAATTTATGATTATTCCTATCAAAAAGTTAACATTATTACAATAACTATAGCATTTATCCTTATCCAGCAGATGAATATTTCATTTTTTTAAATGCGTTAAATCGGCTAACAAGAAATGCTGCCTTAGATTTCTTTTACTTTTTTTCTTTCTTTTTATTATTATTATTATTTTTATTTTTATTTGTCCCCTATTTGTCTTCCGAGTTAGGAGTAAGTTTTAAAAAAAAAAAACAATCAAGTGTCCATTGAATGGATATTTAAAAAAAAAAAGGTCGTATTTTAAAGTGTTTAGTAAAAGCTATTAAATAATATGAACTTGAGTGCAAGAAGAAGACGTGATAATTTTTTGTTTGTTTTTTTTTTTATATAGGAATTTTCGCAATCCTATTTACTTGCTATCTATTTACATAAATATTAGCGTTTAGATCTTGGTAACAGTGTTATACGCGCCAAGCTAAGTAAAACAAAATTTCTTCTTTCGTAAAAAGGGGCCAAATCTACCTTTAAAAAGACTAGAAGAAATATATGTATCAGCAGAGTTAACGGAAAGACAAGATAAAATAATAAAGGTAAGAAGAAAAATAAGAACAAAATAATAAACATAAATTAATGAAACAGAGGATGAAGTTGTAAAAGTGTGCCAGTGTTTGTTTATTTGCAATTCGCATTTCAAAGAAAAAGAGAGAGAGAGAGAGAGAGAGAGTATATGGAAAAATCTCTCCGTTATAAATAATATAATATTCGTTTATATATAAATATATATATATAGAAAATGAAGCGCTGCCTATAAAAATGAAAACAAAAAGAAAAAAAAAAATTAAAAGAGGGTGTAATTTGCTACGTATTCTTTTTTATATTGTCGATATCGTAATAACTTGTCGGTATTACCGATAATAATAATAAAAAAAAGCTCGATTTCACGTGACGTTATGACTTTTTTTTGTCGTGAATAATACACAGGATATCCAGAAAATCACTTTACCGAATATAGAAAAAGAAAGAATGAAAATTGGTTTATTTATAATATTTTGTTTTTCATTATAAATTATGTGAATCTACAGTTATAGTATACTTAAAAAAAAGTATTCTGTCAACTCAAAATATTTATCAATTTTTCAGTTTGGTGAAACGAATTTTTTGGACACGATGTGGTGACATTACTATTTACAAAATCAAATTTGATGTCACGTGTTATCATACAATATTACGATAACAAAAGCCATAACTTTTATTGTCACGTGAAAACGTAGCTTTTGAATAATCGCGATTGTCACGATTAACAAAAGAAAAAGAAAGCGATAATAATAATAATAATAATAATAATAATAATAATAATAATAATAATAATAATAATAATATTAATAATAATAGTAATAATAATAATTATAATAATAATAATAATGGATAATTTTTTTATTTTCTTTTTTTATTTTTTTTTTGTTTCTTATAAACAGTGACTGTGACTGTTCAAGACTGTTTTCTATTCAAAAGCATTCTATCGATTGTTGCCTATTTACAATAACTATCCTCAAACTGCCTGAGTAGAATTGTTTCGATGCAGTTTCCTAATGGTTCCTATTAAATCGGCGAAAGGTCTGCTAACTTCGAACAATAGCTTTCAGCCGAATTCTCATTTTGCTCGTTCTCTCGTTCCAATCAGATTGTCTCCAAAATTCTGTACACCTTGTAAACATTTCTCAACTATTTCCTCTTCTTTTCTTTTTTTCTTTTTTTTTTTCATTCTCTCTCAACATGCAAAAGTTTAATTACATTTATTTTTTGGTTTCCTAGAGTTAAATTAAAAGGTGTATGTAGGAAGATTTGGGACAATCGTTGCTTTTAGAATATCGTGATACATATGTATTATGCTATAAAAACTGTATGTTTAGCGAGCTCGTTTTATTTAGTCCAGTGACTTCCATTTTGTAGATAAAAAAAAAACACACACACACGACGATATATATATCGAGTATTGAAATTAAATTTATATTAGCTAAGAATTGGGTTTTCGATATTAAAAATATTATATTAATATTCTTTTTC